GTACCAATAAGGATGGGCAATATATCAGTACCTTAAGGTTACTTTTAAATGCGGGTACTATTAATTGCAAATTTTGCGTTTGGGTTAAAAATCGCAATTATTAATACGCGCAATTATTAATAATGACATCATGATGCCATATAACTATTAGTAATAATTACTTAATTGCAATTTTTAATACCAGCAAAATCTACCTTGGGCTAAAATCGCAAAATTTAGTACCCGCAATTAAAAGTCACTCTAAGGTATTTAGTAACTATCATGATAATATTGTAGCTAACAGAATATAATCATTTCTTACTATACATGTGAGTGGTACATGTAATCAAATATCGTAACCCTTAGCACAAGTGTGATGTAAAAGGTACCACTACTAATCCAGACTAAGTTACATGTACTGTGTTGGATTTTCTAGGCTAGGAACCATTACAAAGGATCATTGTTATTGTAACAGCTTTGATGAACACAATTATTAGTAATTATTGTGATATCAAAATGAGATATTGTGCTGGTAAAACAACATTCAATATCTCCACCCTTAAGTACTTATTAACAACACACGTACATGTCAAGATTGCGTATTATTCAGTATACTATTACAAGATGCATAAACAGCTATAAGGATTATTATAATACCACATTGCAAGTTAGCTTAGACTGCATGATTGATGGCTGCTTGTAAATCTTATGCACACAGACACAAACCATATGGTGCACAGACACAACACCCTGGGGCAATAGTAATGATTACAGGGTACTAAGTAAAGTAGCATAATAGTAAAAGCATGAGTTTTTGTGAACATCAGGAAGTAATTCAGTATAATGTAATTCCCATAATACAAAACAGACTACTATTACATGTATAGCAATATGCTATGAGTGACAACAACAAGTATAGCTGGAAACAACTAATCAATGCAGAGGCTTTTCATCCTGTGCCCAATGACTGATGCCTTTCTAAAAAACTTCATGCCGGCAAAAAAAATCCAATGCACAGACACCTTAAAACCACTTAAATTACAACATTATTTTTTATTAATAACAATGGCTTATTGTAATAGTAACAGTAATATGCTTTACTGCAATAATAATAATAATAATAATAATAATAATAATAATAATAATAATAATAATAATTATTATTATTATTATTATTTCAACTGTAAAAACATAATATGCGTGGACAAGGACTAAGGAACAATATCAAATGAACAGTTAAAGACTGGCTGCAACTTGTACAGCAACCATAAGTACTAATAGCTCGACTAATAGTAATGGATTATATATATTCAGTAATTGACTACTGGATAATGTTTATATACATGTAAGCCTACTAGATACTAACCAGTACTCCATCCACTTCGTGATTTAAAAAACCATGATCCACTGAGCTGCCTTTCTTGATGTTTCAGGCTTTCAGCCTCCTGAGCGAGCTCCTGAGTGAGCCTCCATAGCTCCTTGACATCCCTCCCCCTTATTCATTAATCATTAATTAAGCTAAACTACTTATTATTCATAGTGTCTATCCCTAAGGATAGTTTCCAGGAACAGTTACACCTAACTCCGGACAACTATCCAGGAATAATGCGCTAACCGGGTGTCGGAGAGTAAAAGAAGGTGGGGCTTCAGTGTAATGATGATCATTATATTGATAATATTGTACATTCTTATATGGTATGTGTGTGTGTATAATTTGTCATTTCCTCTTTCTCCAGCTGGTCATTCTCAGGATTCTGGTGTACTGGTTGAACTGTGCGGACATATTTAAATATTTTTATCATCTCTTTTATAAACATTTTCAGTATTAAAATTATATCATTATTATTATTATTATTATTATTATTGCACTTGTATTTTTTTCTTTTTATCTGCTCCTTTTTGAGAGAAATATATTGAGAATGGAAACAAGACTGACTTGCTGAAATGGAGGAAGGTCAGTTAGAGAAAAGTTATTAAAGACTGAGGGAGAGATAGAAATAAAGGAGAGGGAAATAGAAAGAAATGATGACAACAAAGAGAGAGACAGTGACATGAGTGTGTGTCAGTAAGAGAAGGAATGTACAGTATATACTGGAGAAGGAGAGAGAGAGATTAATAAGAGATCAAGAGATGTTCATGTGTTAGATTTATGATAATATAATGTGTCACTGGTCCACCTTTTATCATGTAAAGTAGTGTATTCTGATTGGTTGCTTATTGGTGAAGATGAACTGACTTGGTATAATAAATGTTGTATCAAGAGATTATTAATAAGTTCACATAAAGAATGATTAGTCTGAGTCTGAGCTCCAGTCTGAATCACTGTCAAAGTCCCAGTCTACTCTGTCTTCTATGAGGTGATAATTAGGATAAGTATTATTACAAGTCTCTTCGTGTCGCTCGTCTAGCCTGAGTCCCCTTATCTTCTTATTATCCATTAGTGACTGGAGGATGAGTAGTATTGACTCAGTAGACAATGAAGTCTTCCTTAGATTCAGTTCAACTAGTGATGAGTTATTGAGGAGGAGGTGAGAAAGAGCCTGTCCACTAGTAGAAGTGATGAGAGGATTATAAGAAAGATTAAATGAGGTAAGTGTAGAGTTGTGTTCAAGTGCTTGACAGATATCAGTAACTCCTCTATCACTAATGGAGTGGCCCATGATGATTAGTTGTTGTATTGTTTTATTAGTTAGTAGTATACACAAGTACTGGATACAATCATTAGTTAATGGAGTGACCCATATCACAAGTCTCCTCAGGTTTAGTGTATGCAGTTTAGTTGATGATAGTAGAGATACTGTACTATTATAGTAGATGAGGAGTGAAGGCTAATCGTCTTATGATTATTACTAATATTATTAATCACTTCATTACACTGAACTGGAGATGGAGACTCAAGGTATGCCCAGTCACTGTCCCAGTCTACACTCCCAGTGATTCCTACATGTATGCATGTACATAATAATACACATATTCACATCATGTGTATATACAAACACACAACTTACATAAACAAATACAGACACAGCTAGTAGTTGTCACTGACTGACTGTATTACGTGAATGTGTGTGTTTGTTATAATGTATTAAGTATGTACAGAGTAAAATTGGAATATAAGCAAATAAACACACACAATACATGTACATATATCATCTTGAGTGGGTGGATCAAAGTTACCGCAGGTGCTGTATATGTGATACAGTTGCATGTAGCTAACCACAAGTAGCTGTATAAGCCTTTCATCTTTGATACAGGCACTAGCTGTTAATTTTTAAATAACTTATAAAAGAATAATGTATAATCTCAAGAAGCCAGTAAGAAGCAATTCAACAGAGCACTCCGGGGCTTCAGGATATTCTCAGGTAGTAGGCTTGCAAGCCAGACCATTCCCTAGCCTACAGTCATTGGGGTGGATGGCGGGGGTCCATACCAATGACTGTAGGCTGGAAAATGGTCTGGCTAGCACGACTAATTTTCGGGTGGCTTGTCATCGTCATTGACCAGCTATTGTGTGTATTTGACCATAGCCCGTTGATTGTTAAGTCTATAACTCCTAATCTGTCACAATTAGGCAGGTTTTGATCACTTTATTCACTGGTAACTACATGGTTCTTCATTTATAAGCTAAAGTGGTGCTTCTTTCAAGTTCTTTGAACGAGGAGGACTGCTGCTTGTCAAGGTAGCCATTTTACTTCTTGCCATGTGCTAGTCTGCAAGCTACTGCGCATGCGTATAACGTGATCCGCCCACTCAAAATGATGTATGGGTATTGCCTATAACACGCCTACTCGGGCTGTATCTGATTTACAGCATAGATTTTTATAAAATAGTTATAAATCATAGTTATCAAATCTATGTTTGCAATCATAGTTATCAAATCTATGTTTACAGGCACCTCCCACTCGGGCGCTACGCGCCCTTGTGGTCGGTGCCAGTAAATCAGATACAGCCCTCCTAGGCATGATATATCCATAGGGGTAGGAACAAACTAAAAGTTGGGGGGGCTAAGGTATTATTTATTTACAATCATAGGAGCATGATTTAACAATTGATCATTAATACATAGCATGTACTGAATTAATATTGTCCAAACTACTGGCGTCTATGCTCATTAAATGTAACAAATTTCTTTGCAATGTCCTCAATGTGTAAATCATCTGTAAATTCTTTGTGTGTATGCAAAATAACTACATGATTAAGACGCTCTTGTGACATTGTGGAGCGCAAATAGTTTTTAAATCTCTTTAATGTCGAAAATCTACGCTCAGCTGAAGCTGATGTTAACAGAGTTGTTAAATAAAGAAGTAGAAGCTTGTGTATTTCTGAAAAAAATAATGAGAGTGCATGTTCTTAGAAGCTAAGCTAGTGTATTAATAGTTTTATGAAACGAATCATCACACAATATGCACACATATAAGGATTACCGAAACTAAAGTCTATAGTGTTGATAATAGTAATACATGTATATCACTTAAAGTTGGGGGGGCTAAGCCCCCCTTCAATGAAGGTTGGGGGGGCTTAAGCCCCTCCTGCCCCCCCTGTTCCTACCCCTATGGATATATCTATTACATATGCAGGGCCGTAGCCAGAAACTTAAAACAGGGGGTTCGGAAATTGCTGCGCGCGAAGCGCGCAGCGAAAATTTTGACAAAAATGGGCGTGGTAGGTAGGCGTGGTCTTGATTTACGCATCTCAGCCATGTGCTGACTCAGCTAAAATGGCTATCTGTGCTTCTCGCTGTTGCCAAATGCTAATCCTGCTTTTGCAGTGCTGTTCTTCATGACAGGAGCTAATCTAAAACTTTTTTGCAGCTACAAAAGGGGGTTCGTCCGAACCCCCCGAACCCCCCCTGGCTACGGGCCTGATATGTACATATAGGGACAGGATCCATACATAATAGTTATAGCACAGCAAAGAGTGCTGTATGGCCAATAACAGGTGGAGGTAAGACAGCCAATACAACACTCAGCGCTTTGCATCTCATGCTGCATTGGCTGTCTCGACTGACTCC